TCCGCGCTTTACTCTTTGCGCAGACGGACATGTATGTGGCCTGTTCTGTGGAGCGTTGTAGGGCATAAACCCCTGTGGGTCGTGGGTACACTCTTATTCCAAACATTTTGTTCATCTAAGCATCTGATACGTGATTGTATTGCATCACTGATTTGTCGTGCTTTTCAGTTATAGGCCGTCCGCGCAGCGCGCGGAGAGTGCGCAAGGTGTGTGTTGCGCGTCACTCCTCTTTCCCCTTGCACTCTCGCCGCCTGTTTTCTCTGCGCTTCTTCAAGTCATGGACTATATTCAATGGCCGCAACAGCGTTGCTCTCCGCAGGGCGGATGGCCTATAGAATGGTTTAGTCACGGTTCTGTTCGCTCTCTTTATCGAACTTTAATTCAGAATGCTACATTAGCCTGTTGCTTGGATTTGTGTTACGTCAGACTTGTGGCAGACTAGCACAATCGTTACGTGGCGTCTGCATTCATACGCATAGTTCGTAGTCCGTATGGGATTATATGACTCACGTCTGCGAGACTTGGTAAATATCTAGTCCTGCCCTTTTTTCCTTTTCTTCTCTTTTTTTCACACTGCTGATTTTGAATAGTCAGTTTGCCCAGCCCATCGTTTTGTTGGCTCCATGGTGTGCTCACCGAAGATGGCGCACCCAAGTTTCGATCTGTTTCAGGTCTGGACTGTAATGTCCATGATCAGACCACAGTCACAGTCGTTGTTCTAGGTATCTCTACGTTATCTGATTCCGACGGGTCACATGTGCCCATTGAAGGGTTGAGAACTGGGCCGTGCAAAACTCTAATAAGGGCTGGGGCCCTGTGTGCTTATGCTTATGCGATGGTTGCTTTCTTTGGGTTAGAGCCGGTTTGTGCCGGGTTTAACCTAAAAGATTTTACTCTGCAGCATTTATACAGGGTCTTGGTTCCATTTACCTTTTGCATCCGTGATAGCTTCTGTTCGAGCCGTACGGGCCTTCGTGAGGGAATGAGTGCAAAGCCTCACCTGTGCACTAATCAAGAGAGTCCGAAATAGGGCGTGGTGAAGTAGAGAAAAAGAGAGATAGAAATCATTGGCTAAACTTGGCCTCTCTTTGTACAAAACTCTCCACAGCGCTATTTACCAGATGTCATCAATGCTCTGGGATTCAATGTAGTGTCAGGGTTTACTGTTTCTATTGCCTGATTTGTGCCTTATGCTGTTGTTGCCTTAGATCACGTGTGCTCGCTGGTATTGGTGAATGCTTCGTTTCGACTTACATGATGTCAGCTTTTACCGTCTATTCGCGCGCTTGTAGTATGTTGTGTTATCCCAGGTCATATGTAGATATCGATATCATCAGGTGATGTTACTCAAAGTGTAGTTGACTTTCACTATGCAGCTGCTGTTCACCTTCCTTTATGGCCTATTAGCCAATGCCAGGTACGTGTATCGTGTACGTACTATGGTATGAGGTACTTCAGCGTTCTTGAGTATATCGCTAGCAGAATACAGGCAATAATCAATAGTCAACAGTGGAGGAGGTGCATAGGGGAGGGAAGAGGAAGAGGACGGAGAGATCATGCATACCCTCCATCACACTTCCACACCTTCACTCAGTCCTCAGTCCGCCCTCTTCCTCTTCTTCACCTCGCCTGGTTTGGCCTTTGACGAGGGTGTCTTTGCCGCTGATGGCTTCACTTCTATGGGATTTACTGCGTGTGACGGCCCGGGCTTAGCAGCTTCTTCTTCCGATGATGTGCTGCTCGACGAACTGATGACGATTGAGCTTTAGCAGTGGCTGTTAGTGGACTTGGACTTAGCGCTGGCGTTGCAGCCTCTTGCCTGAATTTGTTTTTGTTGTGATTGTTATGTTAGGTATTGAATTCAGTTCTGATAGATTCGCCATTGAATACTTATGGCGCTGCGGCTTCACGATCGATGATGTTTGTGGCTTCGGACTGAATGATGCCATCGGTTCATTGCGTCTGTAAAGCGCATTGTCTTGCTTATAAGGCTGATCTTATTCATAATTGCTTGGTTTATGCTTGACTCAAGCCATTGCTGTCTGCTGTAACTGATTTCGCATTGTTTCCAATACGACCTTGATTTGCTCAAAGTCCATCCTTATATGGGGGTCTTTAATCGCGGAGGTCGTCGGTACAGCGTCCTTAAGGAGTTCCTTGATCCTGGCCCAATCTACAAGGACGTTTCTCACACTGAGGTGAAATGCATTTTATTTGCAGCAGTATACCTCTTTGAAGGCTAACTTACGCGGTTTGAAACGCGCGTTATGCCAGGATAACACGTCGATGCGGTGCGTGTAGTTAGTATGATACGTCGGCATCGCTACTGAATTGGTTCCTGAGTTTTTTGGTTCATACGTTAATTTCGCGCTGTTCGGCTTTTGCGCTGAATCTCGCATGCGTAATTTATCCCTTGAGATGTCATAGGGTGTGAACCCTATTGCACATCATAATTATACACTGTTTTATAATGTTTATTCGGCTTTGGCAGTGAAGTATAGCATTCTGTTATGCCTACTTAGATATATTTCTTCTAGCTGGTTAATCAATTGTTCATGGCCGCATTCGTTGTCCTGATATTGTCCCTTTCTAGGATATTGAGTCGTCGTCGTCCATGTGAGGCGTCAGCTTAGCATTCTGATTGCTTTGCGCTGTCCGTTGGCTGCGATATCTGAGATAAGGCTCAGTGTTTGATCCAGGAGTCTGTATTGTTCGAATTTACAAGGTGTTGACCTCGGCTGTCTACCTATGCACCACAGATCTCTGTGCCTCAGACCGGCAGCGATCCCGACACTAACCACGCTCGACGTTGCCGAACTTGCCAGATCGGACACGTTGCTCTGTACGCCACACACCATAGTTGTCAATAGTGGCTCGACTGCCAGTCGCATAGCACTCCAACTCCCAACTAAGGCAGCAAGGTCCCGCTATCTAGTTGCTCATCACAGGGTTGTATTGGGTTGTTGGTTTATGATCATTTCTGGAGTATGCACGATTTCGTCATCTTCCATGTGAGGGGTCTGCTATATTTCCTCCTCCTCTCCTTTCATCATTCCAATCACACCGCGCCGACGTTATCTGAAAAAAAAGGGGGGGGGGGGGTGTTTTAGGTTGTCTTCCTGGCCGTAGCGGACTGTGGCAATTCACGGCCGACTGTACTGACTGCAGCCAACCTCCTCAGACCGTATCCTACCATGACCGTCCATGGTCTCCTTGAGGTTGCACCGAACTGCATCCTTCTGTATACATAGGACGGATGAGTAATTATAGCTCAGTCTCTTAACAGTGTGTATCTCGATAGGTGGGGTTACTGTGGATATGCGCAACGACGGAGAAAGTCAGAACAGTTATGAGCAGGCCGAGAAACAGTGATTGATAGGAGTTAACCGAGGGGACTGCGTTAAAAAGCTGTGAGCTTTCTGAGTGCAAACTGTGCAGATCTGATGTATTCACAGTTGTTTCGTTTATTCCCGTAAGGGAATAGCTATTGTGCTATTGTTGAGGTTAATGTGGCCGGTCATACCCCCCCCCCCCCCGCGATCCGCCACGGTTCACCACAGTCAACGCAGTCGGCCGTCATCTTCAGTATGGTGATATATGACTATTTGAACTCACCAGTCCGGTTTCCATGCACCGCCGGTCATAGTGCGCCACCCGGTGAGTTGATCAATGTAGCCTTACACTGTTCTAACCTGATTTCCCTTTATCTGGGGGGTGTCAAATTATCATCTTGACCGCAGCGGGCTGCAGCCGCACGCAGTCGCCCGTGCTGATTGCAGCTGACCCCATCAGACCGTAGCCTTGACCATCCACAATGGCCATGGGGCCACACGAAATACTGCTTCCTTTAGTATATACATAACGTATGAGTAGTTGTAGCTCCATCAGTCTGTTGATAGTATATGTCTCAATAGGCGAGGAGCTAAAAGTATGTGGGATGACGGGGAGAGTCAGAACAGTTGTGACGTGCCGAGAAGCAGTAATCGGTAGAAGTTGACCGAGAGGACTTTGTCGCAAAGCTGTGGGCTTTCTGGGTGCAAGTTGCAGAATTCTGATGTGTTTACAGTTGTTTCCTTTGTTCTTAGAAGGGTGTGGCTATTGTGTTATTGTTGTGGCTACTGTGACCAGTCATGACTCTCTGTAGTCCACCACGGTTCGCTTCAGTCAATGCAGTTGTCCGCTGTCCTCTGTGATCAGTATGGTAGTATGTGTCTACCTGGATTCTGGTCCAGTATTATGTATTGCTAGTTACAGTATGCTACCTGGTTAGTCGCTCAATGTGGGTTTACTGTGCTACTTGGTTAGCTGATCGATGTGAGCTTACACTGTTTTAACCTGGTTTTACTTTATTATATAACTGAACAGGTGACAATTAAAAAAAAGCCTACTGAGTGACAGCAGAAAATGAAAATGAAAAAAAGAAAGGAAAGAAACTGAATGAATAACAGATTAGTGTTACTCAGAACCCGGCAGACAAGGCAGATGAGGTTAACATGATTAACATGATTAAAATATACGCATGCACAAATATATATGTATTCTCCTGAGTTAATGCCTGTCATTGGCTATATGCTGGCCTCCCTTAGTACAAAAACTTTCCCCAGCGCTGTTCACCAGATGTCATCGATGTTTTGGGATTTAGTGTGCGTCGTGGTTTACTGTTTCCATTTCCTGATTTGTGTCTTGTGTTATTATCGCCTTAGACCATGTGTGCTCGCTGATTTGGTGAGTTGCGTCGTTTCGACTTCCATGATGTCAGCTTCACTGCCTATTTAGCGCCCTCGTAGTGTGTTTATTATTCCAGGTCATATGCAGCTATCAATATCATCCGGTGATGTTGCTCAAAGTGTGGTTGACTTCCACTATACGGCTGCCGTTCACTTTTCTTTATGGCCTATAGCCAATGCCAGGTACATGAATCGTGTATATATTATAGTTGAGGTACTTCAGCATTCCTGAGTATACTGCTAGTGAAATACAAATGATGATCAATGGTCTCTTCAGCCCTCAGTCCCCCTCTTCCTCTTCTTCACTTCCCCTGGCTTGGCCTTGGGAGTAGGTGTTTTGATCGCTGGCGGTTTCACGACCGTGGAACTTCCTGCCTGTGATGGTCCTGGTTTCGCCGCCTCGTCATCCGAAGATGTACTACTCGATGAACTGCTGATTACAATAGGACGTTTGGCAGTAGCGGCTGCTAGTGGGCTAGGCGTTAGGGCTGGCGTCACAACCTCCTGCCTGAATTGTGTACTGAATTCAGTTTTAATAAGTTCACTATTGAGTACTCACTTGACCATTGTATCTTGTCGCTGTGACTTTGGAATTGCTGGTGCTTGTAATTTCGGGCTGATTGATGCCGCCGGTTCGTTGCGCCTGTAAGCACATCGTGTTGTTCGTGAGACCAATCTTGTTCGTAATTGCCTTTGTGCTTGACTCACGCCATAGTTGTTGCCTGCAGCTGGCTACGCATCGTCTCCAGTTCCTCTCTGATTTGCTGGAAATCAGCTCTTATCTGAGGATTCTTAATCGCTGAAGCCATGGGCACAGCTTCTTTCAGAAGTTCCTTGATTCGGGCTCTGTCTATGATGACGTGCCTCCCACTGGAATACATTTCATTAGCCATAGTATGCCATATTGCGGGTACTCATGTAGTCTGGAACGAGTAGTGCCATGAAATCGCAGCGACACGATGAGTATAGTTAGAGCGGTATGTCGACATTGTCACTGAATAGATATATGAGTTTGAATGCCTTAGTTTCGCGCTGTTCAGCTTTGCACTAAAGCCCGTATGCATGCTTCGTCCCCAGGAATATCGTAGGGTATAAACCCAATTGTACATCATAACTGCAACTTGTGTTGAAACGTTTATTCAGCTCTAACCGTACAGTACAACATTTTGTCATGTTTAATTGAGTGTAATTTCGCTAAATGATCCATTGTTCATAGGTTCATTGCGCTGATATTGTCCTTTTCCAGGTATTGAGTTGTCGCCATCTACGTGAAGCGTCGACCTGGCATTCTGGTCGCTTTGCACCGTCCGTTGGCTGCAATATCTGAAATCAGGCTCGGTGCCTAGTCCGGGAGTCTGTGTTGCTCGAATCACCTTCTGTCCGAGGTGCTGATCTTGGTTGTCATTATTCACCTGACTCCCTTAGGCTGTTTGGCTCTCCCATAGGGTTATCGTGGGCCATCCCTGGGATTGCTCGCCCTATATGCATGTTCGGGTAAGTATTAGCCGTTTTTCCGTTCATTTTGACATTTCTGATCTGCTTGGCTTGCTGTTTCCTTGTGTGTTTGAGGGTGCTGTCCGACTTGTTGCATTTGTCAGCCCGCTCCAGGAAGATTTATTGGTCTACAGCTATGTTTTCTTGGCCAATTCAGTTGTTTTGTTGCTGTCGGCCCTTTGTTGTGATTACTGTAGGCCTTTTTGTGTAGTTGCACGGTCCATTTGCACCTTCGGGTAAGTATTAGCCGTTTTCCGTTCATTTTGACATTTCTGATCTGCTTGGCTTGCTGTTTCCTTGTGTGTTTGAGGGTGCTGTCCGACTTGTTGCATTTGTCAGCCCGCTCCAGGAAGATTTATTGGTCTACAGCTATGTTTTCTTGCCCGATTCAGTTGTTTTGTTGCTGTCGGCCCTTTGTTGTGATTACTGTAGGCCTTTTTGTGTAGTTGCACGGTCCATCTGCACCTTCGGGTAAGTATTAGCCGTTTTTCCGTTCATTTTGACATTTCTGATCTGCTTGGCTTGCTGTTTCGCTCATTAGTCGAAAGACCTAGCTTTGCTAATTCTGCAACTTCACCAAAATGCAAATTTCCCCTCGACAGAGGCAGACCGAGAAAGTGCGATCATAAACTTGAAGTGTTTTTGGACATGATCATCCTTAGTAGGCTGGGTCGTTTGCTTGGTGTTGGATATGCATCGTTTGCGGTGATGGTAAAGTGACTGACGCTATTGTTAATGTGACCCCCTCTCCTTTCCAATGCAAACTGATACGCGTGCAGCATTTTCACGAACAAACCGCAAATGGTGCTATGTTTGGTGAAAAATTATCTCTTGGAAAGTATCCTTTGCAGTCTCGAAAATTCTTTTCGATTTAAACCCTAAAATACGGATAAACAATGACATCTGATAAAGTGAAAATTTTTAATCTTTAGAGTCTTTAGGTCTTCAAGGCTCGAAATCTCTATGTATATAAAGCAGAAAATCTGTGTGTTTGTGTCTTTGTGCACATTTTCCATAGTCACGAAGGACGAGCGGTGAAGCTCATTTTGATCTGCTGGTCATCAAGATACGTAAGGATGGTAGAAGCAAACCCACGATGAGAAGGGTGAATTTTGCTACATGAGAGGTTACAGTCTGCCCCAATCGGGATCAGGCCGAACCGTTGGCTGAATTTGCGCGCCCGCAGCGCTAGGGGATTGCGCTGCATGCGCGCGCTGTCGCAGAGAGTGGAGAGATCGAAGAGAGAGCAGACTAACTAGTCGCAGATGTGGCGCGAAACCCTCGCGGCGCGGACTCGCGCCATGCCGATTTTGGCCTGGTTAGGATTGGGGCAGACTGTAAGTGCGATGAACTGGCTCCGTACCGGGGTGAAACCCGGGATGCCAGCTCGTATCATTGCTTATAATAACGGGCTACGGATGTTTACGTGACTTTGTGTGTGTGAGAGTGTGTCTGTTACGAAATTCGTAGAGCATGTTTCAGCCAACCTCCTGGGTTTAAATTTTGCACAGCGCCTGCTACCAGCATGAAAGTCTAATACGCAAAAGTAGGAGCAGATTCGTTGAGTGAATCCCTCAAAACCTGCGCATCGTATGGATCTACTCGGCTTCTGGCCCGCAAAATTGGGTCCGTATTTCCACTTTTTGCAGAGTCGTGGATGTGTTTAGCAAGTAAATGTGCAGGCCCTGGACTAAGTCTTGAAAAGTCTATTATTTTACATAAACGACGCCAAAAAGAATGGGTTGCAAAAATGGTCAGTTTGCCAAGGTTTGACCCTAGCATTTGACAAGATTTTCGCGAAAAGTAACCCAGGTGATGATTGCTCTTATGGCGAATTACCAAAACAATGAAAAATTCAAAAACCTATTCAAATTTGCGTTTGTTCTTCTGCAAAAAGTTTCATCCACGCAAAATCACCGATTTCACATAAAAGAGCTTTCAGTAGTAGTTGTTTACATTTTATTCGTGATAGTCGGCATTGCACGGTGAATTTTAATGCTATCACTATGCGAGAATGAGTAGGGCATTCAAATAGTAGAACTAGTGCGAGCCTCTGTGAAGCAGAGGTGACGCACTGGTTATATATACTCGTGTAATCTTTTCCAATGTTAAATATGTCACGCTTGATAATAATCTTAGGACATCGTCTTTCACATTCATGTGCGCTTTTCTGATATTAATGCACCGTGCCTAAGCAGGCAATTGATCCAAACACTCTCTCAAACATGTTCGAACACCTCTGATATCATATTTAGAAAGTCCTAACTCTTCGTTATTCAGAACTTGTACCTGTTATTCTTTATTAGGTTTATTCTTCCGATACCTTCAAAATAGGCATATATTGTACTTTAGTAGTATAGGAGTTATACCGTTGTAAACTATATCGTTTGCAAACTCCTGAAACAACTCATTCTTCACATACTTCAGGTTTTCTAAGCCCGTTATTCGCACCCATTTTAGTAGGATGTCTTGGTTGAATAAGTCTTGGAAAGCATTTCTACTTCGTTACGTAATCGTTTTATAGCGATATTATTCTAAAGTATATAACCAAATCGGCTGGGTATTTTCTTTCGAAATCAGTGAGACAGGTATAACCACAAGTTACTATGTACATGACTATAAAGAGATCAAAGTAAACAAACATTTCGTTACTGAACCTCATGTCTCACACGATAATTATTTAGTTTTTGATAGTTCGCAAGTAATTTCCTGCTTCGCTGAGTCTTCTATAAGAATGTCCTGTCGCATTCCTGCACCGACTCCATGCCTGAATCAGGTGAAAGAGACAAATTTTTATAGATGACGAAAAACGTTTCCATATAAAAAGTATTGAAATGTGTAGAAAAATTTATATCTTTTCTTCCCAACGGAAATTGCATAGTTATTGGCACAAGGCGGAAGAAAAACGAGACAAATCAAACCAATAAACATACCCTTCACTGGCGTTACTGCCACGTAGATGCGAACGCGGACCAAAATACCTTTCAGGTTATCTGGAGATATCTCCACCATCGCAACAGAGTTTTTAAGCCCGCACCCGCAGTGAAGATCTTAGCACATGAATCCCAAACATCAGCTCGCAAATGTTTGGAAGCCTTTCAGATTTACGCAAAAAGTCCACAAATGAATTACGAAGAGGAGTGCCTCTCTATCACTCGTGAACTCGCACCTTACCTGGGTCACCTCTTTTGACTCACAGTAAGCATATAAATAGCGTGGCATACATGGTCATTCATTAGCGCTCGCTCAGGCACTTGTATGCTATCGGCATTTTCAAAAAGCAAGTGTTTGGTTTGGCAGTCTAGTCAGTGAACAGGCAGAATCTTAGAACTTTGCTTGTGGAGCTGCAGAGACGTTTGATCGGATAGGTTGCACATCGTTTTGCTCATTTCAGGCTCTGAAGAAGGCGAACTGCCGAAACGTCAGCCACCCAACTAATAATTGTTACCAATCTCGAGTGCGGCTTACATAAACAAGTACAATATCTACGCTATGCCGAGGTTCATAGAGAGTCAAACAATCCAATTCACATATTCCCGCTGAGTCCATTGACCAGTATTCATTCCATCTTGTTAAACTCTTCTTCATGAAAAGATATATCGCCGTTGCGTGGAGTGTTGCGCAAGTCTTCTCCTTTCACATTGATCTACTCTTACTTACCAGTAATAAATATCCTAGTTTAGATGGGATTAAGCCTGAATGGGAGCGTATACTGAGGATAGGCCACATCCAGAAGCTCCCCAAGTTGGTCGCATCCCAACAATATTTGGGGTTTCGAGTCTTCTTTGTAATCCATCTTTGATAAATTTGCTGTTTTTTGAGATGAATTCTACTGTGGGAGACAGTTCCACCGCTTTCCCTTGACTCATCACCGTCGGGGTTACACATTGTTGCATGTTATGCTTTCCTGCACTTTGGTCTCAAAGATCCAATGTTGTGACACCGCATGTCTCAAGTATTGGGTTTTCCATACCAAACGTATATATCAGAAACGTCTTCGTTTTTTTTGTACCGAAGACCTAGCTCATTGGCTAGTCTCTCACTGATGAAAAACTGATCAGCTCCATTTTTTGTGTGATCATCTTTCACTCGACCCACCACTGTTAACAAGAGGACTTGAGTTTTGGAAATTGGTTTTCTATGCTCTTTGCAGTGGAGTACTGTGGTTGTGTGGTTTGCTTCATTATTGTGAACAGATTCACTGTCATCTCTTTCTTCAGTGTTGGTTTGAACCATCTGCGCTCGAATTTTATTCTCTGGTTTTTCTCCTTTTCTTTTGTTTTGATATCTGAGCTTTGAGTTGTAATACGCGCTATTTGGAGAGGTGGGGCTCTATGTCTTCTTCTGTATTGAGGACATAAGGAAAAGTGACGTTTCTTTCCTTCGCAAAAATAAGGAAAAGTGATGTTTCCTTCTTTTGCAAACTCTGCGCCCCTCTCTCGTGCAATCTTTGGCAAAGTGCCCCTCTTTTCAACAGTTGAGGCATCTTTTTTTTCTGCAAAAATGTGCGTCGATCTGATACGCTTGCATACTTCGAACAGTCTGCGGCTTTGTATTCGTTCGAAGTGCAAAATATGCACGGTGTCAGCATCTTGATAGCGCGATTGGGACTTTGGCGCGTGTTGCAGTTATTAAAAGGTATGTAATGAGTCTCATTATATGCAACATTCCGTTGATGCGTTCTTCTGTACAGATCTCTTCTTCTAATTCGTCAATTGTTTCTTTCATTTTACCGTCGTTTTCATCTACTTTGCTATGAACGCTTTTTTCTAGTACTCGGCGCTGTAATCTGTTTGCAAATTTTGCCAGTGCTTTTTGACCAGAAACGATCAGTCTAAATTGATTTTCTTTGCCTGTAATTGTATGACTACTGGAATTATTTGCTCGAGAAGTTGTCTTTGCGCAGCTATTGACTGATTTTGTGCACTGATTTTTTCGAGTCGGGCTTGAAGGCGCGCGATAAATTGTGAATCATCTCCATATTTTTTCTTTAATAGCTCGATAGCTGAATCATAGTTGTCTTCCATAACAGGATAGCGCCTTCTGATGCTTCCCCTCGAAGCGCGTTTAACAGATAATTGAACTTTTGTATTGTTGAGGCTTGTTGATGTACAGCCTCAAAAGGGTCCAAAAGTTGCTAAACTCTCAAGATCTTCCTTAGAAGTTGGGCATAGGTATTGCAGGCAACTTCAATCTCTCAATGTTCGCGTATTTTATCCCGTTGAAACTATCATTAGTTGTATCATGAGGAATTCCGCGCGCACTCACTGTTATTGCCTCTAACTGAGTTGCTATGCTTTGCGCATGATCAAGTACAGGGCCCGGCACAGATCGTCTGGAAGCAGGCTGTATTTCGTTTTTGAAGCAAACAGCAAAGGGGATATCGTTTTTGACGAGTCGGAACCGAGCACCAAAAATAAGCGCCATTTAATCGAACACAAGCTTTTCGGACAGGTTATCACACAATTGACATGCTCTATCGTGCATGGCGAAAAGTGCGCGCGATTTGAAAGCAAGGCTTAAAACAAGTTGCTTGTTTACAGCGTACACAGAAGCATATGACACCAGAGTTGGACTGTATGTATGGAAAATTATTTGCGAAAGTATTATGTAAAAAGATTTGAAAACTTATATGAAGTAATACCTTTTCCAAAATTAGATCGTCTCCAGACGGCCACCAGACGATCTGAGATTAACATTCAAGAAAATAGCTAAGGCAAAAGGAACCTGTAATTATATGTGCTCTTGTGCAATTGACGAAATAGTATTATACTTTTTGGTAGCACGTATAAAGATTATAAATCACGATATTACATTTGAATGTTCGCACTGACAGATTGATCTAAGGCTGACTCATGTTTGTGTTTCTGTGTTCTTTTTTTCAATGGCGCGTCTTGAGTGCATATAATAAGTAAAAATAAATAAATAGATAATTTTTTAGCTATAATACATAAGTGAATACATCAGAAGTTTTTAGACTCAAAAACTTCCTTTGATCTCAAATCATGTAATGCTTCGTGCACAAAATCGAGAAAGTAATTTTTAGATCATTTCAAACTTGACTATTCGCATAAATATTGCGTGATCATAATCGCAGCTTCCAAATCTGAAAACTTTGGTACTGTTCGCATAGTAATGGGCTCCATAATTTGAGTTTGAAGGACTTTGGACAGATGCTCTTGTATCCTCAAAGCAAAGCGAAGGATCCAAGGTAGTATTTTATTCCATAATCTTCACTTATTCGAATGTTCCTTAGCGTTTTTGAAAAATTCGGAATAAGTTTGGAAATTAAATCCGTGAGTAAAATGAGGAAAACTGACTCCAAACAGTCTATCACCTCATTCGGAGTCATCTAGGAAGATTCTGTTTTTTCTCTAAACGATGGAAAGAAGGGAAACAGCTGCTTCGTACAAATTCTAGTCCGTGTTCCAGAGATTTTGTGATCGCTAATGGAACGATAAATTGTTGGATCGACCACTAGTACAAGTATTCGGGTATAATCTTATGATACACAATCTAGGCACGTACCTGCCCCAGAGAAATACTATTTCATCAAATTTACATGGGCACATATTAACGGAAATAGGAGAGAAAGATGCATTTCTCAAACAGTCCTCTACGTAGCACTAAATGCAGCTGCTCGGTGGGCTTAGCACTTACCTACGCTTGAGAGCTTTTATCACAACCGTCAACCTTCAGCCTGCTATTTCAACGCGGGCAGGCCACGCTGCCGCTTCTAAAGTGTGGTTATTCTGTAACATATTGATAAATTACCTATGAATGTCAAGCATACTAAACCACAGGACCTGAACTACGAATAAATCTAACAAGGGAAATCATGCAACTTAGATTCGCGTTGAAACCACACATATAGGAATCAGCTTCGAACGCTGACTCCGAATACTGCTCATAGCTGCGCCGCATCATTTTGAAGCGATTATTGATTTCTTTGAGTGCGGAAATTGTATGCTTATCTGACCTACTGGGATTATTGTACTAACATTTGAGCGTTAATGCACTGTGTTGAAGGCACCGTCCACCCTAAGTTAGGGGTTTTGAGCTTTTGTCAGCTTACGGTAATTGGACCCCCTATCAAGCCAATGCCCAAGTTGCGGCCCAAAGAGGATTGTTGGAATTTTCGCGGATTCTCGACTTGATATTCGGAATCAGGGACATGGGAAGGTCGCGTAACGACCAAGACATGGAAGTCCAAGATCTGGGTGAACGGTGCTTTTGAATTCTCTGTCAACGACAACGGATTTTCTGTTATTTTGATACCACAGACTTTTTTCGGGCAGATTTCTATCCACAGACAATCTTTCTATGTTAGATGATGATACGTCAATTTTGCACATTATATAGCTCATTTCAGAATAATGTGGCTAAGCTAGAAATAGCATATTCAGAATAAGCGTGCAAAGCTAATTTCAGATATATGTGTCTCATCTCAAAACGCGAATCTAGGATGGCTGACTTCCCTTGTAAGCTACCAAAACATGAAATACACGAGGCAAACAGGCTTTGTTTCAGACCACCGATCACCAAGCTCAATCCCCATGCACAACCTTCACGATCCTTCCGAGGATCGATCGCTAAAGTGGATAAGTTTTTCAGTAAATGCTAAAACCGCATTCCGGTTGACTTTCTACAGCGCATCAACGTTAACGCTTTTTTGCGCGTCGTAATCCAGGCGATCCAAACTTACACTGCTAAGTCGCAAGCGTAAAAGTTATCTTCCGTGGAAGCTTACTGGCTGAGCGAAGCATAGCAATGGTAATCGTTAAGAAACGTGAGAAATGTGTCAAAACGAGGACGTGGAAACGCGTGCCGCTCTCGGCGTCGCCGTATACACAGCCCATAATTAGCTTGGTAACGCCTCCAGCAGGAAGAGATCCGGGTGTGCAAATACACTAGCATATCGATGACTAATAGCCTGCAATTTTTTGGGTCCACCTGTACTGAAGAGTGGCTTGCACTGCGCAATCGCAACACCAATATATTTCTTGATAAGTTAAATTGGGCATTTTGTACTATTCTTTATTATCTTCGCTAAACCAATATGCCAAATAAGATACCCATAAAGTGCAAAATTACAAACTGCCGAGATCAGATGAGAGCTTCAATGAGCATGTTCCTGCGGACTAACAAGAAAAAAACAACAACAAATAAATGCCAGAGTCTGGCCATGGCATCCAAAGGATCGAATTCTAGACTTATCAATCGGCTCAGAAAAAAAATACAGGACTTATAGAGGCTACTTGAGATGGTTGAGCAGCAAGCTATTGCAACAATACGTCTTAGATATATAATTTGATAACAAATATATGTTTGTACAGGCGAAAATATTCAATGCAATTAAACCTCAATCATTTGACATCGCTGTCGCTAAAATTCACTTTGCTATTTCTTTTGGGTGAAGGCGTAAGATTACTGTTCTCATCGCTATTCCTCGCGTCTTTGACGGTTACTCCTGCTGCTATGCTAGTGATGAGGAGATCAAGCTTTTGATTAATCTCAGTGCGAAGATTTTGAATGGCTTGGATGGAAGCAACATCAACTTGCGTACTTTGACGTGGAGATTCCGGAGATCTGTAAGGTGGTGAATTTAATTTCTTACTTGCAGAAAGGTTTCTTGATTTTATGAAACCAACTTCAAAACGCTTTTTGGAGTCCTTGGCGACGGTGGACTCATCATAATTCCATTGATAGGAAAGCTGAAGGCGGTATCCGTTTTACGAAGTGCTGAATGTGTCCGAGTGTCGGATCCCCTTCGAGTTGCTATTAATCTCATCCTATCAGCCAAGCCAATACCACCGCTTGCTTCTGAAGAGCGTCGGCGTTTTTCCTTTTGCTCTGGATCTAGAAATTTCTTCCCTCAGTTCCTAGGATGCGCTTCGAAGCTCAGGAAAAAAAACCCCCACCTATGACGCGCTCTTGAAGTATCTCCGGTAGCGTCGAGTTGGCAGGTGGAGTGAAAAGGAGTGAAACTGAGTCTGTTCTAAAAATGGTGACGATTATCAAGCTCAGCAGCATCAGAAATTGTTACAACCACAACTTGGTATAACTCACTTTTCATCGTCCTCACTAGTACTAGACATTTCCAGCTCTTCAGCGACAGATGAGCGATCTCTAGGAAAGCGATAAGTAGCCGGTAGTACACGACTTCTAAAGGGTAAATTTTCTAAAAGCTCTCACAGAGCTTTCTACGGCACAGAGCACAAATTCACCTTGTACTGCTCATTGTCCTCATTATATCCCGTTTTACTGCATCGATATGTGACGAGCTTCGAACAATCTCTCGACGGCGATCATCCCTCAGCTCGTATCTGCGGTAATTTGATTTAGACCACAAAAAATTTTTAAGGTCACAATAAAATTTATCAAAGGCTACATGCGATGCACCCCAAACGTTTTCTCACCTAAGACTACTGATATCTTGTTTGATTTCAAGCAAATCATCCTCGTTCACTCCGTCCATCTTCATATCCTTCTTTGTTTGATGGATGAACCTGGAACGACAGGAAGCTGCAGCTCTGCTCACCTCATCTAAGAGTCTCTTAATTCAAAAGTTTTATATGATCTCACAAACTAGAAATAAGAAATCTACTACTTTCTTTTGGAAATAATGTCACTCTCAAAAGTACTAAAGTTCTAGGTCATGTTTGACTTTTACCAAAAATAAATAGCTGATGTGCTGCGAAAATGGTTTACAGAAAATGCAACCCAGCTTCCATTGAAACCAAATGTAATTCTAATCACCGCGGAAAAAGGACGTTATGTTCTGATGGGGACCGCCTTCACGGATAACTAGTACGAGTTATAAAGTAATGCAAGATTTGTAGCAGATGTCCGCGAGGGTTATCGGAAACATTGCCTCTTAACATTGAGTACACTGTGTATTATTTTTCTGAGTTCCTTACTCTGACTAATTCGTAATTATCTCATTATTCTTTTTCTTCATCTTTCGCTAGTCTCCCCGATAATGATTGGTTATATTTCGCCAATTTGGAGCCGACTTTCCGTAATCTTCAAACTTACCTTGAGACAAGCCTTTGGATAATGTCCGCATACGTTAATGGCTTCTTATTCGCCTCGTCAGGATTATCCTTCATCTCGTTACGTTTACGAGAGTAACCGGGTCGCTGGAAGCAAGCTCTATAGAAAAGGTGTTTTTAGTAAGAGCTAATCGACATCTCACCCTGATGGTTGCTCGACTTGTACTTTTCGCGTAAGTGTATTTTCCAACTAAGCATCGAAAGGTGTTGACTACACCGAAAAAGAAATAGACCACTGCCTGGAAATATTACATTTCTTGAAAGAAAAATCTGCCTAATTCCCGGTGGTACCTTAGGAGTGATGACTATATTGAAGGGAGGCGGAAGACTAGAACCTTCGTCGAAATGAGCCATCCATAATTTTGTTCTATGGAATTTCCACTCCAAGTCAGCATGATCCTAAATGCATTAATTAGCAGTCACAAATTGGGTAATTGTAGTAAATCCAACGTTAATGGTCTGGAATGAGTGGCTCATCATGGCGATCAGCATGTTTAGAAGCACAATGATTGATGTGCAGTGATACAGTATGAACATCGCACGCCCAACAGACTGTGTTAGGTGATGGTTCTGAATGCAATTAATTTGGATAATTATTCATCAGTGAGAGTGGATTCACCTCTGCAACATCCGTGTCTTCGACCTTGGTGATAGAAAATAACGACCATAACAAGGTTAAGTAGGAGTCGGCAATTCTGGAAAAGATTCGTTGAGAATCATGTCATATGTTATGCTGGCGTGAGAAAGCGTGAATTCTCGAAAGAGAATACAACTACGACCATTGGGTCCTCGTAAAAAGCTTACTGATTTAGATTACAAAATGAAAAAAAAAACGACTAAGAAGTCAGCAGCTATTTTGGAACGAAAATAAACTCACGATGAGAACACATTAGATTCGAGCTTACAATTATCAGGAGTTAGGCACACAGGAGTGTCAGGATCGTAATACCTGGAATGAACGATGCTCACTGAGAAGCTCATTTTGTGATGAATTAGCATAAAAGCAGCATACTTCACTATGTTTCTGGTGACACTTTGAAATGAGTGTAGATTTTAGAGTACAACCATAAGAAAAATAGACTTTAATAACGACCACAAATCAAAAAAATTTCTTAATTGTTTGTTTTTGCCATTGGCGATTCTGGCCCTTTTTGAAAGAAAACCAAAAAGACTTATACGTTATTTTTACACACTTACCAGTAAAGCTGCGCTAGTCCAATGCTAAAACTGCTGATGATCAGAACGAATATAAAGCAGAACTTGGCAACATCTACCAGCATGCAACCCAGTGAAATCTGGAGGTTCAAAATTGTGAAGAGATAGAAGAGTTCTAAACACTTACCTGGAGCGGTCCGAGGTAGGGATTTGTTTGAAATAAGTAGATAATCCGCGCGAAGCTAAAGGAAAAAGTTGTGTTTAACTTAACAAAGATAATCTTTCTAGCATACCTGAAAACATTTCCAACTGCAAAGAGTGCTTCGGCTACCAGCATCGGTTCATAGGCATCCCAATAGGTACGAATTGAGTATCGATTTGGGTAGTCGGTGGCGCTATAGATGCAGTAAGCACTCAGCCTAGAAATGAGTTTGAATGAAAACAAAAAGCTTTGAATTTTGAAGACAGAGAAAACTCAGGCATTTTTGATGATATCGCAGTATCAGAAGAACAGATTTTTAGCTATGCTCAGCTCAAATATGTACCCTATGTAATGCAAGAAATCAAATGATGCATCGTTAGATTGGATTGACAATATGTTCATTACCGAATTGTGTGATATTTTGCGTGTTCCACTTTTCGCTTTTAGTAGGTCTTAAGCTAGAATATCCTCCTTCAGCTATTCGAGCCAAAGTTGTAAATCTAATTGAGGAAAAAAATCGTAGGCAAATTATCATTTCTTCGATAAAGCACACAACCAACAAAAAATAGGATTAAGTGTCAAAATTTTGCACTCTATTCCAATCTTTCCCTCTTTCAATAAGTCTGGGTACTTCTCACCAGAATTATTTGTTTTTTCCTCACATTCTCATGCCCTTTCTTTTTCTTCTTCTCGCCAATCTTTTTATTCTTGTATTCCATTATTTACTTAGTCAAGACCATGGCTTTCCCTAGCTCAACTGACCTGACGGAAATCGTACACAAGTACAAACAAATCATGATAAAGTCGAGCCAATTCCACCATTGATGTACATATTTCGTAAAACCCTCCTCCCATAATTGCTTAATTTCCGACCACAACATACCTGGAATAGGTGAAGCAAGTTGCTCAAGTTATTCACTTCAAACGAAATTCTTACCTAGAACCCATGCTACAACCAGAGTCTCTATCAACGTCGGAGGAGGACCGCGATCTGACGCACGAGTAGTCCCACCACCCTGAAAGTAATCAGGACTCAAAAAAAACTTTTAGAAATTATTTATTCAGCTTGCTACACGCGGACCGTTCTTCTTGCCGAGCAAAACAGAAAATTTCTTGCCGTAAGATAAGAATGTGTAAAAATCAACTACTTCCACAACTCACCTTTCGTTCTCCTTTTTCACTCCGGTAACTTTCAAATGTTGCTAGCGTCAATAATAGTAAGAAACAGCCGAATGATATCGAGTAGTAAAGAAACTTCATGAAAGGCGAACGGACAATACGACCAATGCGACTTTTTGGCATCTGCAAAAAAACAACATCAAATGATTTTTGAGTGTACATACTGTAATCAGTAGTTTTTCACCCATTGTAGATAAAAACAAAAAAGTGCGGCCTTAACAGTGTCCAGGTTCTTGTAAGGACGCTGGTTCATTGATGGGTGAGGGGGGGGGGATATAGAATAAGAATGCATACAACAAATATCGTTAGAAAATCAATTTTCCATGTAGTCCATCGTTTTTGAAAGTCAAAATGATACACAAATTTTGTCCTTTGAAATTAGACTTGACTCGGGCGACAGTGCGATAAAAAAAACCATTCCTTCAAACGGCAGTAAGAAAAATTTTTAAATGGGTGAGGGGGGGGGTGCTGGCGATTGTGTCAGGGACCGTTTACTGCTCTGCAAGCTTTAGCGCTGCCCTGAGATGCTAAAGGATGAGATGAGCCAAATTTCCTTGGTCACCCGCTAAAAAAAATTTTGCGGCCCATTTTAAGGAAGATGGGGTGGGCTCCGTTTCTTTCTCTTATTTGGGCAAAAAGATCACTCACCAGTATGTAGCAGAAAGCGAGTACCGGCCACAGGATGATAAGTATAATACAAACGATAATGTTCCATGATGAACCCCTTTGTTGTCTTCCAGGAAAGCCTTCATACCATATCGAGGTTAGCAACTGCTGGCAGTGAGGGTGTGAAACAAACTGGAAAAATTCGAAATGAAATTCGCATTTTTTGTTCTATTCAGCAGTGGTTATTACAGCTTTTTGTTCGTATTTAATGGCAAGCTTCAGTCGTGATAAGCTCAACTTTGATGCCCAAACGTCCACATTTTCATCGTGTGAATTGCAGTCTTTGTTTAGAACAGCGATTACCTAGAAGGCAGTAATAAAAAAGGGTAACCTGACATTAACTCGATATTTTTGGAAAACACTTACTTCTTCGCTGCTTCTGCACTGGCTCATCAGATCACAAGCAAATTGTTTACATTGCTCTGCTAGCTGTAAACATAAATAATTAACGTGGATATATCAGAAATCTTCTAATCGTACCTGTAGATATGTTTCTTTGAATTCATGCTCTACGACAGCCAACTGCTGCAATTCCCAGCTGAGTTTGAAAGCGGAGAGTATGGGATCAGGGCTGGAAACACACGGTTACTTTACTGCAAAATGCTACATATTTCGGTCAAAATGAAAAGAAAGCGAGTACTGTCATCAAGTATTATGGTCATTTTAGTTTTTTAGTATAATCTGGATGATACCAGGGCTGACGCAACTAATTCTATGTAAAAACAGTTGATGTGCTTATTTTCAAATATCTTTTTCTGTTTTTCTTCATTCAAAAAAATGAAAATGGCAGGATCGCCCATACTCGCATAATGGTGTTCTAGTATTTTTAATAGATTGGTGCATAATTTTGCACCAAAAATTTTGAAATTCCATTCATTTTTTGACCAATGATTTTGATGTGATACATAATAAAAAGAGGTAATCCTCCTCTTCTCGAATGTTCTCGAATAGATAATCTTTGTTGGTATATGACAACGGTACAAGCAAAATGAGAGAAAATGAAAAAGTAATTTTTCGAATTTTGGTCGCTGAAACTGTTAATACGTCTACTAAGATCGGAATTTATTGCTTTTGTTTGATGGCCTTCTCTTCCCATCTGAAAGAATAATGATAGCGACCGGATATCTCTTTTCGAATAGTTACGAACTTTGATTTTCTCAATTTGACTTTTTGATTTTGTTTCGATTGATTTTCTAAGATGTAATATAAACACCGTCTTTGATTTACATAAACACGGAACATATTGCGTAAAATGACTAGCTCGTAGCAATTTTGAAACGAGTTTTCATCAACTTTTGGTGCAAGAATTGCGCCTAATAGTCAGATGGATACAAGAAACAGTACTTGTGTGACCATTAAAGAGCAACTTTCTATAGGGAGAATTAAACGGTGGAGCTTGTTTGATGATACAAAATTATCTTATAGACGTTTTCTTTATTTTCCAAGATTTGTAGCAGTATGAATGTGTATTTTTCTAATAATCTTGTGGAAACAACCTGGTCAGACTCATCCAAGCAGGGCTCGCTAATGCTCTATAGGTGTTGATCCTCTTCAGAGAGTACTGTAGCGAATCGTTCAGGCGTTCACGATCACATGTCTCACATATACAGGAGTACCTGGGATGCATATTTCAGGCTTTCGAGCATCAGAAACAGCTTTTCCCTTTACCGATGCGGCCTTTCAATCCTGGCATCTTTTCTGAGGAGCATTTGCAGAATCTCGAATTGATTTAGTTGTGCGGCAAGAATTATTGGCGATATATCACTGAAATGAAGAGAATTAATAAAAAATGACTTTGTGTGCATAGCTTGTTCATTCGTCTTTTCTCTTCGAGGACTAGAATACTCAATTTGGCAAACGATCTCTGAAGAAAAAGATTGTAGCGGTGCGCAACACATGTCTTTTCATCATGTGCTCACCATAGAAAACCACGAAAACTTGTTGGAGAAGCATTTTTTATTGCAAGAATTTTACATGATTGACATGCTTAGTTTGCGGAATCTGCATTCGAAACGATAATGTTCGAGCATGTCGTATTCTTTGCCGAGTTTCTAGCGCTGGGATCTAATTAAAATCACTCGTCGTATTGACGTAGGTGACTTGCGCTTCATATGTGCATCCTTTTTAGTAGGATTCTTGGAGCATAAGTCTTTGCACCCCAAAGGCTCAATGAATCCGTTTCAAATGATATAATTTGAAGGGAGAAAACCTTACTCTTCCTAAAAACCTCAGAACAAGAATCACCATTGTTATATCGCGGCAACTGAACCAGGGAACTTAACAGTCAGCTTGCATTTTTCCAACTTTTGGATTTTGCATATACTATTAGGTTGGTGCAAAAGTTTTGTCAGTTTTTTCAATCCACCGGCAAATACGATAGAATGAAGATAAACAAACATTTCAAAATGTATCCGATGCAGAATTTTTTCCTCTTTCCAGCTGCTAAACTCATATTGTATTTCGTGTGAGTGACGAGGTATTTGCTGTAAATTACAAACATTCGTTTTCACCACGTCCAGTTTTCACTAATTTTCAAAATTTTTGTATGAGACTTTCAGAGAAGCCCCAATAATCAGCAGATAGGGCAAACCTTTTGCCAACTTATGCAGTTTTTTTCTTTTTTTCAGCTGCTTTTTCAGATTTTTGCTGAATAATTTTCTAAAAGTCTTGTGTTTTGAAAAAATCGCATAACCTGTTATTGCATCAAACACTGCAAAACCTACGGAATACCGAGGTTTCAACACTTGATTATTGCTATCGTTATCATTACAAAGTAAATGAGCGATTTTTGCTTCAGATTATGGAGATTTTCAAACATAGGTTACTTCAGTGCGCACTCCTGAAATTGAGAAATACTGCGATTTTCCCCACAAATATCGCCTGTCTCGGCAAAGAAAGACAAGTATTAGAAGGAGGAGAAAAAGTTGCATCGAATGGTGACTGAAGTGTTCAACGTTTTATGTTCTACGAGGTTAAAATAGGCTGAATGTAAAATTTGGTCACTTGAAAAAATAAATCGTAGAAATTATGAGAAACAAGCCGTAGGGCTGCAAAACATTGCTTCTGTTGGCAAAAGGTCTGCCCTATCTGCTGGTTATTAGGGCTCCTCCGAAAGTCTCATAAAAAAATTTTGAAAACTAGTGAAAGTTGGATGTGGTTAAAACGAGTGGTTGTAATTGTCAGCAAATATCTCGTCATTCTCGCAAAGAAAAACAATTGGAGTTTAGCAGCCGGAAAGAGGAAGAAATTCTGCATCGGATACATTTTGATGTGTTTGTTTATCTTCATTCTAGCGTATTTGCCGGTGGATTGAAAAAACCGACAAAACTTTTGCACCAACCTAATATATTCCGCTGCTCTGAACGTTTCACATAGATTTCTTGAATATTTGATGCAAGAACTCATGTTGCGACTACAGTGTCGAATTGCAAAACGCTTCCATGCTTCTATTCCTACACTTACTGCTACAGTTCCACGCTCTTCATAGGCTGTGCTAAATTCTTTATGGTGATGGTTTGAAGAGGGGTCCAGAGAAGCGGCACACCTTTTCTTTCACTCTAAAAGCGCGCTGCGAAATTTGAAAGCGGCCTACTGGGTTACTATTGAAATTCAAAAAGTTAATGTTTTCAAAATAAGTGAAGAAATTCCGGCATTCATAAGACCGCTGTAAATTCAATGTTTGAGTCACTGTAATATTTTTCCTCTGTGGACCATATACTTTGAAGTATTGGTGGGTCCCATACCCTACAAAAATGGCTTATAATTGCTCAAGTGATGTGGACAGACTTCTTTAGTTTACCTAGCTTTCATTAGTACACACTCAAGCAATTATGAAAGGCTTTTGCTCACTTTTCCCTCAATTTCTTAAAAAAATTGGCAAATAATGATTATATTCCAGAACCGTTCATACTTTCTGATGGCTAATTGCTATCACACTTTCTACAATGTTCGATAAGCCCTAACGCTAAAACGGCTTTTAAACCTATCTGCAGCCTTTTGACATGTTTCTGGAGAAGTTCTCTTGAACAGAGGTAACTTGCAGCGTGATAGGTACTTAAAACCACAGAATGTGACAAACATCTGTAATGCACGGCTTTAGTCGAAACTTATAGTTATACTGAAGCCAGTCGGTTTTTAGTAATGCCTTGCTTGTTCTTTGAACTTTTTCGGCACCTTAAACATTTGAACTCTGTTCAACTGCGTTAGCAATTCAATCAGAAAATTAGGTTCTCGCAGGAATCAAAAAATTTGCTATGTTAAACAGAATCTACTTAAGGAAGAGCAAAAACCACATAGTTCCCTTGCGAATAGGCAAAAATCATGAGAAACACTTCATAAAACGTGGAACTCGAAGTCATGAGTATCGCAAGTTTGCGATTTGTTTGACATATCGCTCTTAACATCAGTGCTATAGTTTCTTCAATCTCCCCATTCGCTACTCAAAAGCGCAGAAATTGGTTCTACAGAAAATAAGTGGCTGGTTACCGAGACCGTGATATGAACGGTTATGTAGTAATGACTAAAATAGTGAATGTATTTTGATCTACCTCGAATATTCCGCCGAAGCAGCCTCGCCCGGATCGAGATGCTCAGCCCATCCATCTCCAAGCATTTCTCGTGTGATAGACGGATGGTTCACTTGCATTTCTACCAGCCGATAAACACCTGAAAAGTTCGAGAATCTGCAGCCTCCTCAAGATGACTGTAAATATTTTATTTTCGCATCTAAGCTGGAAGATTTACCAACAAATCTTGGACGAAGACATCAAATTAGCCAAACTACCGCGTCGAATTTTCATGTATCCATGCAAAGAAGGTAAGGGAACAAGTTATTTTTACAAATATTTAGTGTCACCGGAATTGAACTAGCTGGATTCAATCGAAACCATGGGAATTATTAGGTTGATACATAATTCTTGCATCAGAATTTTGAAAGTCCGTTACTTGCTCCAGCTTCGATGAAATCTTTACTTTAATTTACTTCGTTAGTAAAAATAATCATATTATCTTGATAAGGTAAAGTTCTCAAGATGAAATATTTGGGTTTTCAATCGAAATAGATTTTACTGTTGGATTTTAGAGATAAGATCTTGCGCCTTTCAAATACGCTCAAAGCAAAGTTCTTAATGGCATACGACAACGGCTGGTTAAAAGAAAACCCAACCCAAAAAGTGATTTTTCGAATTTCGGTCGCTAAAATTGCCAAAATGTCTAGAAAGTAAGTTTTATTTTTGGCCTTTTTATTGCTTACTTTTTCGATTAAAACAAATTGATAGTGATCGAGCTGAGAATATCGATTGACTTATTGATTCTGCTTCGAATTGATTTTGTAAAACGTACTATAAAACACCATTTTCGACATGCATATAACAAAGAACATATTGGATTAGCTTGTTCGAGTGTTTTTTGAACAGATTTTTTTTGATGCACAAGCATTGTGCACCAACCTAGTACCTCCAAAACAGCCAAAATAGGACGCAAATATGAAAATTAAATCAGACAATTCTTATTCCCGTATCTCCTGAACTTCACTGCTTTTTTCACTAAACATCGCTGTCATGTCCCTTTTGATGGTTTTGATTTCCGTGAAAAGTCCACTTTCATTTGAGTAAAAGCTATGGCGACCAAACAGGTCAATTTATTTTTTGTGGGATGGAAGATTGGAAAAAGGCTGTAGATCACAGCAGAATTCATTAAATCGGCAAATCCAACTGCAATGTATTAAAAGAGAAGAGTGAGTGATATTGAAAAATAAGGTTATATAAGCCAAGAACTGTGAACATACCTTCACGAATGGCGCAAAGTAGAGCATTGCCTATGCGAATATCTGGATGTCTGAGGAGGAGATCGACAACCTGAAAATTCATAACATAGGATCATCTGCTAATTACCTGCTAATTAAATTTTTACACTTGCACTAGCGTTGAACCGGGGTTTAAAGCTTGAAACACGAAAAATCATTTTTCCTTGTTCACAGTAGATAGACTTGCACATAAAAGTTTACTTTATTATCTTACTGGGGTTTTGTTAGCTGCTCTGAAAACAAAGAGCAAAGTAAGGCAAAGAAGAAGTCATCATAACCATTTCGTGGTTTGACGCTTAAACCAGAACAGATTCGTGCTGATCTTTCAGTTCAAAATAGAGCTCAACACTCTTTTCTTTTTTATTCTTACAACATACTTCGATATTCTCGTTGTCAACAGCAATTTCTAAAGCCGAACGACCCATAGAATCGAGGCAGTTGACATTCAGCGGCGTTTCTCCCTCTCTCTGCAGTAAACGAGTAAGAGCAACGAAATCTTGCTACCGTATCCTTACCGTAAGCAGACATTCCTGTATTGTAGGTTTGTCGCCTCGTTCAGCCGCCTCGAGAAACCTGCAATAGATTACGATGACCTTTTTTTGCGTTTTCTACTTAGTTAAAGACTGACCTCCGTTCCTGTGGCGAAATCATATCATGTGTGCGTATATTTACAGCTGGAGGTGGTGGCATGTTGCCAAGAGTGTAGTTCCGCATCCGCGGACGCGGAGAGACGGCAACACGCGACAAACGCCGTCCTGCCGTCGTCAGCATTCTTAAGATACATGTAAGTCAAAATTTATACAATCATGGTTGAAGCCTCTGTGACGTCAGGTCCCAGAGCAGGGAAAGAAAATTCTGGACGACATGTCAGCGCTGTGCGTTCTTCTTAGAATGAAATCCAAGACAAGCGTTTTTCATTGTTTCGTAGAAGTTTCCCATGAGAACATGATTGCAGCCGAGTCTGATATTTTCAAAGTCCGTGTAAAAACAGCTTTGACTTGGAAACTTCCTTCAGCGATGACTTAATGTATATGTATGTTACTTATAAATTGCACACAAATCTGCTAACTCCGTAATTAGAATTACTTTCATCTCTTTGGTTGTGAGAGTAGCCCGTGCCAGCTCCGCGCCGACGCTCAATCAATACGCATTGTGCCCACACTGGTGCACGCCGCTAGCATGGCGCTGGCACTGCGCCGACACACGGGCAAAGTTAGACGCAGCCTTTTGTTTATGTCATAACCTTTCCTGTGAGTAAAGTTGAAGCTATTAAAGAGATTTGAGTTGCATACGCATTAGCACGACAAATTCCAAATGTCAAAAGTTTAAGTCAGGACGATAAATGCATGACTATTTAATTTCATCCTCTATAGTATATGGAGTTTTAAGTGCAGTCAGAGGCTACAAGGACATATTTTCAAAAAAGAATGTAAAAAGATGTGAATTTGCGCAAAGCTGCGTTAACTCATTTGTGAGCAACTAAAATTAGATGAGAAACAAAAAGGTCAGCAGCAGAGGTTAGGGGGCATAAAGAGCTTGAATGTTCAGAACAGTACGAAAGAGAAATTCCCTAAAAGCTGAGAACTGGGACTTAGTGACAATAATGGTACTTAGTGCTGGTACTTAGCAGTATAATAGTAATTAGTGCTTTATCTATTTGGTTTTAATCCAAATGTTAGGTCAGTAATTTATCTATCTGTTTATTAAAATTCCACAGTTTAAGTCAGCATGTCAAAGCTGATTGAAATGGGCATGCAATAGAAAAATTGGGTGCATGCCAAGATGAACGATAGCTGGCAATAAGCATACTGTACTCCTGCGGTTGTCATTATATCGCACACATAGTCTTATTTTTTGAAGCTATATGTTCTTTACTGGATTGAAAATGGGGTCGAACAATAAGAATTTGGGCATGTCGAGCTTCCAGCATTTTTTCCAAACTTCTAGGTAGCATTATAGCGTAAATATGGAATTCGAAAAAGATTTGACCTACGCAGCGTATATGGCTGGCAATCCTATCGTTCATGTTGGCTGCCCCCGAAAAATTTTGTACCGCTTAATTCGACACAAAAGTGGCTAAGCAAAGCTGCATATGATAAGAAATTTTGAATAAATCAGAGTAACTGAACGAACCGCAAAAGCGCAGATTGCAACAAGGGAGTACCATTCTACTGCACTTATTTTGCTTAACAGTTCAAAATCCAACATCTATAAATTTTGTGCAAGTGATTATCAAGGGGGTCTTCTCAATGTGATAACGCTATTATTCTCCGCGTCTGATATTTCACTATTTTATTCGAGCGCCTTCTTCAATCAGTCAGTAAATCTTCATTGTATCATCAAGCATATTCAGAATCACTCAGAGATCAGAAGAGTTGAGCGATTATGTGGTCACGAATGTGGGTTTTCAACAGCAGTTTGCATAGACGTCGTCGAGCTTTTCAAATGCGCCCCTTTTTCATATTCAGAATGCATGGCCCGGTTCCTTAAAATCAAAGAGAACAGCTGTTACATTATAGAGAAACACATGTCAAACTTTGCTATGCAACGGAGTACAATGTCACTCTAACAGTAGTCTTGGTGGATGATGGTCCTATAATAACTAGCGCACCCTACCGCATTTAGGACTTGAGCTTTTGAAAATGACAATGACAATTGGAAAATTCAAGGAAACAGTTGAAAATTTCAACGCAAGTTTTGGTTTCTTCTACTGCGAAGGTTTCGATCAAAAATTCGAACGTTCGCAGAGAAATGGCTGCAGGTTAAAATTGAGAGGAAGTGCGGAGGCGAAGCGAAGACCGCTTCATGGGTTTTCTATAGATATTATCATCGACGGTCACTGATTTCTATTGTAATCCTCCATTACCGTAATCTCACCATAAAGCTATAACTATTAAAGAAAGAGCATTCCATGGTTAAATCTGTGATAAAAAAAGGGCAGAAACTCGCACATATACTGAAATTCTTCACAAAGATTAGCATATATCAAATCTAGGAGCAGCAGATAGGCTTGTGTATAAGAACGGTAACCTAGATTTTCAAAAATGTGGTAGTTTCATCCACTGATATATCCGATCAGGGCTCGGCACAGCTGGCACCGGGTCAAGCTGGACATCGTTTTTGGGGCGGAAAACAATGGAGATATCGTTTTGTGGGATTTGTGGAGAAGAGCCGTGAGCATGCCGCCGATATGCCGCTGGCGTGCTTGCGGCATGCAACCGGCATATCTACCCCAGTCAGACAAAAGCGTTGTTTACAAACAAAACGCAATCATATGACAGAAAATTTGGTGTGCGCATGCGCGTGGGGGGATCCGAAGTATGGCCCTAAAATTTATGAAAACTTGTGTGAATAAAGGCTGTGCTGAACTTTTTTCTGAATTAGCTGGCACCGTGCCAGCTGGGTGCCAGCTGAGCTGGCACCGACCCTTTGCTCATATAAGTTTTCATACTTTTTTGCATAAAATGTATCTACACCGTAAAATTTTACATACAGAGGGAAAACAATTTCATAAGGTTTTCTTTTCGGCGTTTTATACCCATCTGAAAATTTCTCGCTCTGCTGCGCAGTCGAAAAATCTGCTTCAATCATAAAGCGCGCCCCAAAAACCCTATTACATACGTTTATAGAATCTGAAAGTAATGAGGGATCTTTAAAACAGGTCAAAGGATTCGTACGAAATATCCAAGATCAAGAAGGATTTCGTTTCGAAATTTCCGCGGTGCCAGCTCGTGCCGAGCCCTGTCTCCGATTCTGCTGACAGAAGAAAATCTTACCAACGAAATTGCTAGAAACGCAAAAAAGACAAATAAGTGAAAGTGAGATTCTTGCATGAGCGATGTGGAAAGCATGGCGCTGTGATTAGCTGCTGATTCTTTTGTTTACGCAGGAGGTTGTAGTTCTCATAAAAGATGTATGAGCATGTCAGTAGGTTGTTTTTACAAGAGATTAGAATTAGAACTTAAATTTCGAACATTAGACTGCCAGAGGAATTGTGGGGATCTTGTAGTAGCCTCTTGAACGTGAATGATCTGAGCAAAATGCCTAAAAATAGTATCCAGCATGGGAGATAATATTTTTTAAAGCCTGGAATTGGAGGTATTCTACTTTAAACATCAATACAGAACGGTAACTGTACAGATCCTCTATTAAAAGTGAGTTGCTGGACGTCCCACTTCTCAAAACTACAACGAGTCTCCGAGAGTGATAGTAATTACTTTACACACTGTTTTCGATGGTTTACACATAAAACACTAATGTTCCATGCAGGACTTACACAAGCCATACCATAAAGACTACAAACTGTGCTTACTTGGAATATATCAAGGACGATGTCGGGGAGTACGCCCCTTTCATTTTCTCGAACCACAATTCTCAGCGAAAAGTTGATCAAACGATAAAAAAAATTAGGCAATTCTCAGCTTGAATATTGCATCTCACCATGTAAGTTGTTCTATATCTCCGAGTAAGATGATAGCTGTAAAAAAAGGCTATGTTTTGGGTAATGAATGGAGAAATCATGTGGCTGGCGTAAACCATAAAAGTGTCAAGCAGTGGTGGCAAAACAACTGACAGCCATCCTTTTCTAATCCCCTCACTTCTAGTTTGTTTTATTGAACCGGAACTCCAACAAACAAACAATGAGTGTCGCTGGGTTTCTTCGTACCAAAAATTTTTCAATTGTAAGTCAAAAGTTCAAAAAGCATGATCAACACTATAAGGGAAGGCTCAAAAATAGTTAGATTCGATATTGCCTATTGTTTGAAAGAGTGGCTTAACTAATCATAGACAGACCATTTTGAACCAAAGATAGAAAAAAAAAAACTACTTTGACTTCTGAGGCGAGCCTAATGGACTGGATGTGAAGGATTTAGTGACTGGTTTCGCAGCAAAAGTTGACAGCTTGGTGGAATAACTGTGTTGCAAAACAGATGCTCGAGAATGCGAAGGATAGAATTCGAAGCGAGCCGAGGATTTGATGTCTGTTTACAATTCCGAAACGCTGCAAGCCAGCTGAGAGCGAAAAAAGTATTACAGTTTTGTGAATTTCAGAGGATTAAAAGGAATGTAAAGAAAACGCGACTGGTCACAGATAAAAGCTACATAATCTCTCTATATACAAAGCAGAAAATCTGTGTGTCTGTGCACATTTCCCATAGTCATGAAGGATGAGCGGTAAAACTCATTTTAATCTGCTGTTCATCAAGATATGGCAAGGACGGTAGGAAGCGAACCCAAGACGAGTCGGAATCGAAAGAAGGGTAAATTTTGCTACGTGAGAGATCAAGCACGATGAACTGGCTCCAGAACGGGTGGAAACCGAGACGCCAGCTCGTACTCAATATAGCAAAGTATCAGAAAAGTTGTATCAGAATGTGGGTAACTGATGCCATTTGAGCACAGAAAAGACAGATACAATTCTATCGCAATTTTCAGATCATTGATGGAAATTTTTTAACTTCAACAATATGAGGACATTTCACAAATGCGATGAATAGCTATGAAATAAGTTTCGGATTCATGCGCAAGCAATAATTCTCGCTTCGCTTTCCACCTAAAGAATGCGATCGCCCCTGGCGAAAATGTTTACAATTAGCACTTTCAAAAAAGCTGTTGTTAGATTTAAGATTCGAGATGGATTTTGTACCTCCATTCAACTCCTTTAGTCTTAAGGCAGTCCTTTTTTGCTCAAATCTCAAGCACTCAAAAAATACTATATGGACTTCCTAGGGCAGTAACTTAGGGATAATTATCAAGGGAGCTTTAGCACG